AACTTCTGAACCATCTCTCCAGCCCTACATAAAAATTTTTAATGTGTGCTGTTTTAAGCTTCGTAAGTGATAATTTCTTTTATAACCACGGTAAAAAAACAATTAAGATAGTGTCCCATCTCTTATGCCAAGGACCATAATTCTCATCACTGAATAGCCACTTATTAAATAATGGTTGACTTGAAGTGGGCTACTGCTGGCAGGAAACCCACATAAGAAAAAGTGATTACCCCCCTCCCCATTTTTATATGAAGGGCCTATTGAGAGGTCTCCAGGAGGTTCATAGATTTGTCTTGACACAAATCCATCGACTTAGAGGGTTGGGTCGGGTCATGTGGATCGTGAAGAAGGACACGGGGTCAGAAACTTTCAAGTGAAGAGATTGCAAGCTGGGAAGTGAAAAGTAAGGTCCAGCAGGCGGGCCCTAGCATGTTGTCACTGCCTGGGCTCCTTTCTGTACACCATCTCTGGATGTCCCACCTGCTGCCTTCACAGAGTCAGCATGTACTTCTCCCTGTCAGGCCCATCATGCAGGAGTCATGACAGTGTCCATCTGCTAGTGATACCACAGTAATGGCAAAATATGCCGCCTGCACACATACGCCTTGTCATATCCATTGGCTTGAGCTGACGGCTGAGAAGAGCCAAATACATAGAAAGCTTTCTGGCTCCTCCTGTTTGCCTAATGCAGGACATACATTTGTGGGCTCTGCCTGTCTGTTCTTTCAGGGTCTGGGTACGTAGAGGCAGACTGGCCTGGAACTTGAGATCACACCCAGTAAGGACGTGGTTTGTCCAGATTCCCGGCTTCTTACCAGGGAGACAGCTGGGGCACAGTGGGGCCGCCAAGGGATCTTGGTGAATCTAAGTGGTCCCATCTTCCCTTGGTGCCTTCCCACTGTGTCTCCCAGGATCCTGTCCCTTTGTCCTGTCACTCCCCCAACAGCACATCAGATGCTCTTGAGCCCGAGTCTACCCACCTGAATCTGCAAGTCCTCCCCTCTCTAGTCTGGCTTCTGTCCTTGGTAAATATAATCTGAGCACAGCCAGGGAACTCGGGATGAGGGGCAGAGGAAAAGTAATTTTCTTTCTCCTCTACAATACCTTTGGTCTAGGCCTTTCTGTGTGTCTGGTCATCCTCACAGTGACTGGTCGCTAGGATGAATGGCCTGGTTGTGAGAGGACGCACTATCCATCCAAGGCAAAAGTGGGAATTCCTTCAGGGCTCTCCTGCATCTAAGCCTAAGCTTCCTCCACTCCACCCTGCTCACCCCATACATTATTTATAGCCAATTATTCGCCTCCTGCTGGGACCAGATGCTGCCTGCCAACGCTGTGACCTCTCTGAGTCCTCTGGGCAGGATCAGGGGCAGCTCCTACCTGCCTGCCTTCCTTTCCCTCCATGCCCCCTCCTCTCCTGGTGTATGGTACAACCAGCCCCTCTTCTTATATACAAGATACACATTGTAAGCAGTTCCTTCTTTGCCAAGCCAGCTGGCAAAAGGGGCAAGCTCCCATTTCCCTTCAAAGTCATGGCCATAAGAAGTCAACTCCTCCTACTGTGTGGAGGGTCGGGTGTATACAAATGTGTGTGTGTGTGTGTGTGTGTGTGTGTGTTAGGAAGGAGTGTGCATGCTGTATGTGTGGAGATGAGTTGGAACATTCATGACTGAATGTGTTGCCTCTTCTGGTCTTGTGGCTGAGATTGTAGTCAGGATTGTTTTCTCCTCCCAGGTGAGAAGGGCCACTCAGCTCTAGCTCCTGCAGGGGCTGTGTCTGGGAGGCACTTGAGGCCGGCTTTGTTTGCTTTGTCTCTTTGGCTCAGTCTTGTTCTGAGGTCCCAATCATTTTGGTGATTTTGGCAGTGCTAAAACCAAGCTGTGCTACCACAAACACACACCCACTCACCTTCCACCCCATTCTTTAGTATCTTTATTACACTTAATTAATTTATTTAGTGTATGTGTAGACGAATGTGCGCCATGGTCTGTGTATGGTTGGAGGACTGCCTGCAGGAATTAGTTCTCTCCTTTCACCATGTGGTCCTGTGAGTCAAACTCAGGCACTATTTCCCGGCTGAACCATCTTGTCAACCCCTTCCACCTCACTCTTCATAGGAGCACCAACAATCACAAGCTCACTTGGGCGATAATCAGCTGAAATATTTTATATGTCTGTTGCCACAATCCTATGAAGCGGTTATTTAGCTTGGCCCCATTTTAATCACTATAATTGTGCCTCAGATAAACCATTGGCTATGGTACTGTTAGTGCCCCTGTGCAAAGCTGCTATCCCCATCTATAGATGAGAAACCCAAGCATAGAGGAGCTAAGAAAGTTTGGAGAGGTCTCTGATGGAGCAGACACAGGCTAGATGCCTAAATCCACAACTGAAAAGCCCCTGGAGAGATGCCCAACTTCATGGGTCAGCCTTCCTCATCTTCTGCCAGTGCGTCTTCCTCCTCCTCCTTTTCCTCCTCCTCCTTTTTTTTTTTTTTTTTTTGTATTGGAAATCAATCTTAGGACCTTGTATATGCTGGGCAAGCATTCTGCCACCAAGCTACTCCCCCAGCTTCTTTTTGGGGGGGGGGGGGAGGGAAAGATATGAGGACCTTGCTGTGTAGTTCCAGGTTGGCTTTGGATTCACGATTCTGCCTCTGCCTTCTATATGCTGGGATTACAGGCATGTGCCACCACGTCTGGCTTCCCAGCCCCTTTTCTGCACACCCTAGGGCCACCTCCAGTTTGCAGCCCTGTATCACTTCCTGCTGATAGTGAGTGTACTTATCTCCGCTGTCTGAGTTAATTATTTCAAAAAGCCATTTGGAACTCACTCTGCTGGGTCTGGTGTGTTCCTTTTGGCTAATTTAATAGCTCTGCTTTTAAAAATAGGTGTGCCTTGAAAATTTGCTTGCTGGGCTGATTGCTGTATAGAGTTTTCCATCTTTGTTTTCTTCTTTGAACCCAGGCTCATACAAGCCTGCGGATTTCAGAGCTGGAGCGGTGGGGTCAGGGAATGCACCAGCTCAGCAGAGCTCATGCCTTGGCTGACAGTGTGCCTGGGCTCAGCAGAATCCTTGGAAACTATACTAGATCCTTGTAAGAAGAGGCAGTTTGGGCAGTTGGAGAGATGGCTCAGTGGCTAACAGCACCTACTGCTGTTTCAGAGGACTCAAGTTCAGTTCCCAGCAACACGGCAGGCAATAGACGACTGTAACTCCAGCTCTAGGAGATCTGGCGCCCTCTTCTGGTCTCTGCACTCATACACATTTCATTACTAGGCATGGTATATGTACACTCACGTGCATGCACACACACACACACAAATAAATTCTAAAAAATCAAAAGACATAGACCATGGCCCACAGGATCAACTGAGCAGGGCTCACAGGGGCTCACAGGGACTGAAGCAGCAATCACGGAGCCTGCATGGTTCTGTGCTAGGTCCTGTGCATACATGGTGTGGTTGTTTAGCTTGGGGGTTTTATGGGACTCCTAACAGTGGGAGTGGGGGCAGTCCTGACTCTTTTACCTGCTCTCAGAACCCTTTTCCTCCTCCTGGGTCACCTCATCCAGCCTTGATATAAGGGCTTATTGAAAGTCTTTTTATTTATTCATTTATTTAGAGACAGGGTTTCTCAGCTATGGAACCAATCCTGGAACTCACTCTGTAGACCAGGCTGGTCTCGAACTCACAGAGAGCTGCCTGCCTCTGCCTCCCGAGTGCTGGGATTAAAGGCATGTGCCACCAATGCCCGGTTCATGCAAAGTCACTGCATCGTGTTATCCCTGGGAGGCCTGCTTTTTTTCTGAAGGGAAAAGGGAGTAGTGGATCTGGGGGAGAGGAGAGGTGGAGATTGGTGACTGGGAGGATTGGAAGGAGGAGAGGCTGTGGTCAGGATGTGTTGCATGAAAAAGAACAAATAGAAAGAGAAAAATATTGAAGAGGCAGGTTGCTTCAGCTGGGGCAATGTGTGCCCAGATGCAGTGGCTCTACCCAGGTGCTGGACTTAAAAGATATTTTGTTTCTTGCTTGTACTTCTCTTTCTGTTGTATTTTCTAGTGTTTTAACTTTGTAACAATGTATAGAGGGCTGAGGATGTAGCTCAGAGGGGCGTCACTGGTCCAGCATAAACAAGGCCCTGGCTCTAATCCCCAACGTGGGGAGGGGGTGCATAATTTTAATAGTAAGACTAGAATGACTGTAACATGTAATTATTTTTATTTTATTTTTTTTGGTTTTTCGAGACAGGGTTTCTCTGTGGCTTTGCTACCTGTCCTGGAACTAGCTCTGTAGACCAGGCTGGTCTCGAACTCCCAGAGATCCGCCTGCCTCTGCTTCCCGAGTGCTGGGATTAAAGGCATGCGCCACCACCGCCCGGCTGTAACATGTAATTAAAAATGATAATGCATAAAGAGAAATGTAGTCCTTTAGACAAAGCCTCAGGCAAGCCTTGTTTTATGAACCTGGTGAATGAATGTTTATAAATTTAACACCATGCCCAAAAGGCTCCCCTGAAAATAAAATAGAACTTAGGGGAAGAGAGAACAAAATCTGGGTTAACAACTGTAATAAAGTATATATATATTTATTTATTTATTATGATATATATCATATATTCATATGATATAGAGCATGGCAGTGTGCAGGCAGACATGGTGCTGGAGAAGAGGCCGAGACTCCTACCTGTGTCTTGATCCACAGGGAGCAGCAGACTGTGTACCATACTGGACATAGCTTGAGCATATGAGACCTCAAAGCCTGCCCCCCCACAGGGACACATTTCCTCCAACAAGGCCACACCCACTCTAACAAGGTCACACTTCCTAATAGTGCCACTCCCTATAGGGCAAGCATTCAAACGTATTGAGTCTATAGGGGCCATACCTCCTATTTAAACCACCTATATATGTGGAGAGAGGGAGAAAGAGACAGGCACACGCGTGCGCGCGCGGGCACACACACACACACAGAGTTAGAGAGAGAGAGAGTTTTGAAAACCGTTGACTTTGTGGACTGCTGATATTTTCCAGGCGGACTGCAGGGCAGAGTGTTTTTTATGTTTTCCATGCAGCAGATGTGGACCAATTCTGGGCACTGCTGAGCTGTGCTCTAAGCTCTCGGGATTCAGGAAGGAAGGCAGATGGAGCCTCGGGCCTGAGCAGCACTTAGTCCAGTGGGGTAAGTTGTGCAGAGTTACACAAGCCACAGATGGTGCTCTGTAAGATGACAGTGGTCCTCGCTAACAGACACAGATCCCACCATGTCAACTCTGTGATGTGGTGAGTTCGGGGCTCAGTGAGATGGTGCTCTGTAAGATGATAATGGTCCTCGCAAACAGACGCAGATCCCATCATGTCAACTCTGTGATGTGGCAAGTTCAGAGCTCGGTGAGGCTTCAGAACTTGCTGGGAGAGCACTGCAGACCTGTACAGGGCTGAAAGCTCTGAGGCAGATGTGGCCAGTCCCTTGCTGTCTTATATTCTCGACCTTATTCTTTTTGGGGTGCTGAGGAATCATTGACCCTGGGAAGCTTGTCTCAGTGTGCTGGGCAGAGTCCAAGGACGCTGGCAGAGGCATCATTGCAAAGGCTGTGCAGCCTGTGGGCTCATAGGACACCCCCTCTTTCATCCCAAATTGACCCTTCAGTGGTATGATCATCCCAGCACCAACGGCAAAGGAAAATCCCATCCTAAATCCAGTTCTTGCGCTGAGCCAGCTCTCCTGTGTATAGGTCACTAAAAGTGCCTAGTCAGGCATTATGCCATGACGTCAAGCCATTTCTGACCTGAGGCTTTCACTCTCTGCATTATTTATGACGCTGTCTCTATCAGTCTCGTTCTTGACAGATGTAAGAGCTCAAAACGGCCCTCTTTGTCCGTCTTCAAGAGGGCAGAGTGAACCAGTGACAGAATCCGGCTGGGGCTCATGGATATCCCAGCCTCTCACACGCACACGCGTGAGAGGCAGGAAGGACAGAAGTCACACCCGGCCACAATAGCAAATGTGCCAACGGCATGAGGCAGACTGAAGGTGTAAGTGTTCTGTTTGTTTCTGCCCGAGTGAGCTCGGGTTACTCTGAGGTCCCAGACTCAACCAAATACTTCCTCTACCTGGACCACTAAGGGCTGGTGGGGCAAGGCAGGGTGGGATTGACATTGGAGACGGTCATGGGCCCTTAGAAAATATCTGGAGGTAAGTAGCCAGAATGGATACTGCAGATAAGAGAAGTCTCCCTGGAGGCAGGGGCTGTCGTCTGTGCCCTACCCCGTTCATGCGGAAACCTACTCGCCGCATGATCGGAATTGACACCCCATAAAAGAGATTTATTTATTTATTTATTACTTTCATGTCTGCTGTGACCAAACACCTGAGAAGACATTACTTAAGAGCCAGGGCTTATTTGGGCTTGCAGTTCAGAGGACACCATCTCAGCATGGTGGGAAGGGCATAGCAGCAGGCAACAGGAGAATGTCACAGAGCATCAGGAAGCAGTAGACAGGAAGTGGGCAGGGCTACCCGACCTCAAGACCCGCCCCCAGCGACTTACTTCCCTAGTGAGATTCCACCTCCTAAAAGTTCCAGAATATTCCAAAACAGCACTTCTAGCTAGGAACCTAGCTTTGAAACACCCGAGCCTATGGGTATATTTCCAGGGCATACTGTTAAGCCCTTCTTCCACTGTGTGGGGAGAAGTGAACGGGAAACACCTCACCTCACACCAGCCTCAGACTTCTCAGGCTTCAGAACAGAGAGAGGTACATTTCTGGGGTTTATAACTTTTAGTTAGTTAGTTAGTTTGTTTGTTTGTTTGAGACAGAGTCTCACTTTATAACCCTGGCTGTCCTGGAACTCACTCTATGGAAGAGGCTGGCCTCGAACTCTGAGATCCGTCTGCCTCTGCCTCCCGCATGTTGGGATTGAAGGTGTGCACCACCATGCCCAGCAGTTTATATTTTTTAAACTGCATTTTACTTACTCATTTTTGTGGTTAGATATGCCACACACATGTGTGGAGGACAACCTGTGGGAGTCGGTTCTCCTTTCCCACTCTGTGGGGCCTGGGGATTGAGCCGAAGTTGTTGGATTTGGCAACAAGCACTTTGACCCACCTAACCATCTTGCTGGCCAAACTGAGTTTATAAGCTACCAGTCTGTAAGATTAGCTATTGCAGCCTGAATGAACTAAGAAAATCTCCAATTTCACACCCCTTCCATTTTCTGTGTTCACTTCTTGTGGGGGCTGTAACTAGTGACCACAGGTTAAACCACAGTGTACAGCACTGGGGGTTAGAAGTCCAAATAGTGAAGGAACTGGAGGTTGTGGGTGCTTAGCCAGGCTCCTGGGATGCAGAATGTTCCTCCTTCTCCGCGGGAACTGGCAGCCCCTCTTGGCAGTTTCTGTATACCCTCCGTTTGGGCACCTACACCCCCCACAATGGGTATCCACTACACATCACCAAGGGAAGCCACAGATGGGAGCACTGGGCAAGATGTAGATAAACTTCGTCCTGTGAGGGCTCGGCTTTGACTCCTGTATCAACAGGGACATGCCCCTGCCTTAACTCTTCACCCACATCACCTTCCCTCACTTTAACCATTTCAACTCTCTGTCTCATCTTTCACAGGCCCCTGGCACATCCTAGCTTATTCAAAGCACAGGCTCTACGTCTGGAGCCATCAGTGGAGATTCCAGGCTACTTACAGGGGCCCTGATGGCGCTCAAGTGCACTGGCTTGCTGCTCCTGCCGGCCCACGCTACACTACAGCCTCTGAGCTGCCTCTCCGACTCACACCCCTCTGGGGTTGGAAGGCACAGGAGAAGAGGCAGTTCAGGGACTCTTCCTCATCTGGACGCCGTCACCTCAGACCTAAATGCTTGGAGCTGCTGCCTCAGTGCTGCCTGGGAACACAGCCCGGGAACTGACAAACGAGCTGCAGCCCCTCATTTTACCCTTCTACTATCCTAAGAAGAAAAGAAGGGGTGTGGGAATCTGAATAGTTTCACAGCACTGAGAAAACAGGGGATGTCAGATTTTCCTGGAGGAGAATGGCAGTTGCCCCTTCCTCTTCCGGCTCTGAAACAGATTAAACATGAAAGACACAAATTCAGGTTGTCCCGTGTCCTTGAGTGTCCACTCCGCCTTTCCTAGAGCTGGTTAGCAAGCTCCAAACAGCTCCCATAACAGTTTGATCTGGTCATCCAGGCTCCCCTCGGCCTACCTCACCCCAGCACCGCTCTGCCTTCCTGTGCTCTCACTCCCCACCCCTACAGGCCAGCAGGGCCCCAGACCCTCTCCTGGCCACCCCACCTGACCCTGCTTGAGTTCTCCGTCCAGCACTGGCCACCTCAGCGCTGGCCACCTCACGGCTCACTTCTTCATTCTGTTTACTGTCTCTTTCCAGTGAAAGTCCCGAGGGGACTGAGGCCAGGGGCTTCATAAAGCACTTGCCCAGCGCTATAGGCTAGGCTGGCTTCCAGCCTTAGCACTGGGCAAATAAAGTATGGCTGGGGCTCCACAAGGATGAGCTTTACCCACTACCCAGACCTGGGATGTTACTGCATCTGAATCTTCAGGGAGAAATTTTATAATATCTGTTAAATCTTATAGTATGCTAACAGTTTAACCTTGCTATTCCCACCTCTAGGAATCTATCCCTCAAAAGTAATCCGATGCGTGTTAGAAACGTTACAAAGGCAAAACGCTGGAAATAACAAGAGCTGACGCGTAATTACCGCTTACCCCGTGCCAGCCTCCCTTCCAAACATTGTATGCATATGAACACATTTAACTTCACAACAACCCTGAAACCTCTTATTAATGCCTGTGTTTTCCAAAGGCAGAAACAGGCAGAGGGATTGGAGCCAGAAGCGGGGCCAGGACTGAAGTCCTGGGTCAGAGTCAAGAGTCCAGGCTTGCCCGGCATGGCGGCTCACACCTGTAATCCCAGCACTGGTGGATTGCTGTGAGTCTGAGGTCAGCATGGACTGCATGGAAAGGCTCTGTCCTAAGAAAAACAAAAGTCAAAACCCTTGACCCCATACAAGGTCAAAAGTTCTATGGGTCATTCATGCTGTGGGTCATCCCAGTGGAGGCTTTCAGCACAACTGTCTGAAGTGATAATAGACAAGGGACTATGTCTCTAGACATCTTGTGTGTGTTCTGAAATCACACCCCCTTAAGTTACATTTATTATGTTGATAGGTATTGCTGGGAAGACATCAGAATTATCAAACTCCAAAGACGCCAGGGACCAGGATTGCAGAATATTCCACAGACAAAAGTACATGGATTTCCAGGGCTGTGTTCTGTGGGCTTTGATAAACCAAGACGGGATTAGTGTTGCCTTCTGCAGTCTTTCAAAATTATTTAAAAGCTGTCTTTAAGCACTTTCTATTCTTAATGTGTGCTTTGCCGGCTTGTATGTCTAGGCACCCTGGGTGTGGTGTTCCTGGGTGTGCATAGGCCAGAAGTCATCAGATCCCCTGGAGTTGGAGTGAGACACAGCTGAGCCTCTGTGTGGATGCTGGGAATAGAGCCTGGATCCTCTGGAAAAGCAGACAGTGTTCTGAACCTCGGAGCCATCTCTCTAGTCCCTTGTAAAATAATTTCCAAAGCTTCCTTCTTTCCACATAAGCTTCCTCTTTTTGTCCCAAACTATGTTGGGAGCTGAGATCATTAAGATGGAAGAGTTGTTAATGACTTGGGAAATCTTGGGATATATATTAACTGCAAAGGATCAGTTACTAGAGAATTACATTACATTAAGGCTGCATTTAAAGGTTCAGTAGCCTATGTGCTAGCAGTTATTTCTGGGTGATGAAGTCACGCGTAGTTGCTGGCCTCAAACTGGCCTTATAGCCAAGGATGACCTTGTGAACTCCTGATCCTCCTGCCTTTGCCTGTTGACAGGCGTGTCCCACCATATCTGACTTGCAATTATAGATGTTTTAAAACTTCTGGTCTTTGTGTCCTTACATATTTTTAAGAAGATGAGCTACTTTTAAATGTAAAGGAACTTGTTTTAATAGGAGACGTAGCAGCTTTTGAGAAGATCATTTGATAGTGGCCACCCTAACGTTACACACACGTCCCTTGGGCATCCATCAGTTCTGTTTCCAAAAGTGTGCCCCGCACACACGCAGCCTTGCATGAGGATCTACTGTAGGCCTAGCAACAGTTACCACAGCATTGTGAAATTCTATACAGAGTGCAAACCCTTCAGAGAAGGAGAGGGTACAGGAGGGTGACCTTACCACGACAAACCCTGGAGCTGTTTTAACCAAACCCAAGCAAGGTAGTGGGATCTCTGAGTATCCTATCCAGAACGACGCCTACACAGGCAACAGGCTTGTGTGTGCACGTGCAGTCCTTGGAAGGAAGTGGCAATCATCCCCAGGAAGGCACTCAGAGCAGGGTGTGGGGTGTTGGAGGTGGTAGTAAAGGGGCCTTTCACTATAGGCTTTTTTTTTTTTAAGGTTTATTTAATTATGTATACAGTATCCTGCTTGCAGGCCAGAAGAGGGCACCAGATCTCATTACAGGTGGTTGTGAGCCACCATGTGGTGGCTGGGAATTGAACTCAGGACCTCTGGAAGAGCAGTCAGTGCTCTCAACCGCTGAGCCATCTCTCCAGCCCCCACTATAGGCTTTTGAGATGTTTATAAAGCTGTATATGAAGAAACAAATACTATTTATATAACAAATTTAAAGCACGCTGCACAAGTATGGTAGAGTTTTAAAATAAGAAAGCTATCCCGGGGCTGGGGTGCAGCTCGGCTGGGGTGCTGCTCAGGAAGAGAGCTCTTGCTTAGCATGTGTAAGATGATTCCCGGCATTCCAAAACCAGCCCCCAAACTCCAAAATATCCCCTCATTTTGCAAACGGGCGCCATTTATCTGGGTCACTGTCAGAGTTAGACATGGGCTCAGTCCCTCGTGAGAGGACATGTGGTATGTAAACCCTGGTGTAACCTCATGACACACCGCATTAATGTGTCCCAAACAGCAGTCGCTGTGAGCAGCTTGGAACAGCAAGGGCGGGAAGTGATAAAATCAGGAGGCTGGGCGTGGTTAGATACGCAGTCAATCCTAGCACTAGGGAGCTGAGGCACAACCCTGAGTTCCAGGTCTGTCTGGACCATAGACTAAGACCCTATTTCAGTCAATCAATCAATCAATCAATCAATCAATAGGGAAAAAAAAGTTGGGGTGGGGGATGAGGAACCAATTACTTCTAGGTTTCCTGCCAGACAGGAATATGCCTAGGACGAAGGAGGTAGGTGGGTGAGGCTGGGAGTACTTTGCCAGGCAAGTGATGTCTGACCCTGGCCCCAACCAGTTTCACCCTGGGGCTTTATTATTCTTTCTGAAGTTATAGGTCTCCTCGGAGCATAAAAATATATAAATAAATAAATAGCACAGCTATGCTCCCATTTTACAGGTGTAGAAAACGAGGCGCAGTGGCTCACCCCCAATCATGCACTTCTAAAATGGCAATCTGGGATTTGTACCTGGGTGCTCTCCGATGAGACACTGGACCCTACCGGAGAAACGATCCATCTAAGCTACGAGGGAGATGGAAACAGACACTCTGGTCATCTTGTGAAGATTCAAGCTGGCGGAGCCCATGCCATACAGGGCAGAAAGCACAACCCAGGAGCGTTCCCGCTGTCCCTCCCTGCAGCGACCTGGGGCGCCCAGCTGGCAGCGCTTCCTGTGAGTCTGTGACAGACCTTGCTGCAGCCAGTCACCTTCCCCTGTGTTGTTGACACTCTTGAACACCCGTAACTCTCAACCATGGCACAGTGGAAATGAATCTCTAGCCAGTGCCTCTGGCTGCAAAAAACAGGGGACTTGAAGTCTATTTGAATTCTATTTTCACTAAAACCCCATTAACGGGTTTCTATTGGAATAATTAAAGTGTCAAAGCCTGTTGTTCTGCAGGCTGTGAAGGAGGGCTGCATTGTGAGCTACTGAAGGAGCAGAACTGTTTTCAACCCCCCACACACTGGGGGTGGGGATAGTCTTAGCCCCAAGGTAGGCTTTCTTAGCAGTAATTTGGTAACACCCTCTGCAGCTGGTCTGTGGTTGAAAATAATCTCTTTTCTCTTCTTTTTTGCCTGATTTGCTCAAAATTAGTTGGAAGGCTTCAACTTGCTTCAGGGAATTTCTCTCACACCTTGACAGGCGCACAGAAGCCAACTAGGAAGTTTTGCCAGCGCTGTGGAGACACAGACCTGTCTCTCTTCTTACACCTTGAGATCAGCTAACCCTGTGTGAGCTGGTCCGGTCCTCATTGTGTGGTGATTTCAGGTGAATTTCCATCTTGACTGCAGGGCACACTGGAGGATGCGTCTTGCATTCTCATTTCATGGAGCATCTCTCCGGTAAGAGGCTGTGTGCCCTGTGCAGCTGGAAGGTCCAGGTCAAAGCACTGGGATTTGTAGTTCCAATGTATCACAGGTAGCACTGGCCTGAGGACACTGAGAACTGTGGCTGTGGCGTTTGCTTAACTGTTATAACCCCATGTCCTAGCTCTGGTTTGGAAGGGTGCCGTAGCCTAGGTTCTCAAGGCCAGTGATGTGGCTCCTGTTGGGCTTATACGTTTGATAAGGGAACACCCCCATCTTCCCAAATAACAGCTAATTATGCCCGGGCTGTCCTTTCTGCCTACCCCAGGGATCTAGCTCTGATGCCTTTCCACCACCTCACCTGTCACTGCCATCCACACCCGTGCCGCTCGGGCCTGCCTTTGCCCCTTCTCAAGAGCATGCCGTACCACAGATTTTATTTTCTTCTTCCAGAACCAGACACCGGTTGGAATATCTTCTGCTTCGAATATCTTACACTGGCCTTTGCATATAGCCAGCTCTGCGTCTGCCCTTGGCTTTCTTAAGTTCATCATGTAAAGAGTGTCTCCAGCTGTTTGCCCTCACTCATACTAAATTCACCTTACATATTTTACTCCAGTCCGGCTTATCATCTTTCTCACTTCACA